GAATAGGATCGGTTTCTGACCACTGAGGTGTGCTTGTGGAAGTGGAGAAGGCACGGTAGGGGTAGGGTGAATAAAACGGGAATTGACGGTAGGTGGGCAGTACGTACTCAAAGTGAGAGGGGGAAGATGGGGGGGAGGGGGGTGTTGGATGGTGTTTTGGTGGCCTCAGGCTTCAAACTGATCCCGGTAGCCCTGACAGAATGCTTTCGAGGCGAGCCAATGAAAGCCTCAAATGAGGGTGGACTTCATCTAGTTCTGACGCTAAAATAGCGCGAACCAGACTGTCGGGTCCGCGCTAGTACTGTGTAAGGATATCCCTGACGACTAAAGAGATGAGAACTGAGCGTATTGGTTCAGCGTCCGTTTCCCCCCTCCCTCTCTGCAGCAAAGTCGCGTTCCTCTCCTCTTGTTTCGCACCGGCGACCATACGTGGCTATTGTTCTTTCCTGCTCAATCAAAAGGCATGGTCGAGGGTCTCAAAGTTGCATGCATCGCAGTCAATATCAGCCCATTCTTCCCTTGCCTTGTGGCAACTCACCCTTTTTCGAACGAGCTTCAAGCCAGGTAGGGGGGAGGCGTATGAACGCCCGCTGTGTGGGGGCAAGCATGGCATCAACCGGTTCTTCAGAAGTTCAGAGTCGAGTCTGTGATCGGGCCCCCCTCAATTCGACTCCCATCCCCATAGTAAGACATCGACTGTATGAAGGTACGGGCGGGATACTCCGAGGAATCACAAAAGAGAACAGTGTCTGTGCCAGTCAGCCAGATTATGCGGCAACCCTCTCGTGGCACGAAATGGATCTCAGATCGTGGCGGGCGGCAGCTTATGCTTATGGGCCCTCGGGATCGAACGGTTCCCGCCTCTTCCCGCTCGTTTGTCCAATCCTCTGTCGCCTTCACTGTGAAGTTGCTGGTCCCGTGTCCATCAAGCTTATGGGGACTGCCCAGTTCAAAGCAGAGTACTCCGTATGCCATCACTGCCTTCACTATGCTAGCTTGGCTAGGTGCGTACACCAGGGTGCATGGCCTGGCTTGTACGGAGCATGTACCACAGTATGCTTGCCTTGATCGACAGTGGCTTGATCGCATAATAATCGCCGTGGCCAAGGAATGGGAATAACATGGAGACTCAATGCCATGGTGGGAGGCGAGAGTCGAGACAATGTGAAAGCTTTGTTCCACTGGCGCGTGTTTACCGATGCTGCAACAAGTTCTGCACAGGCAAGGGAAGCCCCCCTGACTTTTTTCTTTTTTCTAACGAGCCATGGCCTGACATGAGCATGTCTCTCTGGACGCTGGGAAGAGAAGAGCAAGGTAGTCCAGGAAGAAGGCAATTTCAACGACGAGTACCTAGTTCTCGGATAACAGTTTAAGCAATTCCATCCTGAAGGGCCCGGGTTCTTCCAGTGACTCCAGCCCACTCCAGTGCGGTCCAGTTCGGTGCCCACTCAAGCAATGTCCAAGACTCCAAGTTGACGGGACGCGTCCCGGTCACACCCAGCGACGGGGAGTCAAGGTCGACAAGCGAGTCCTATGGGAACTGTGCCCCCGCTTTGTCCGAGGAATTGCAGCCTCAAAACCCACACGCCCAAACATCAGAGGTCTATCTTAGGGATACCCCCACCACCCCTGTCTCTCGAAGATTCTCACCTGGTGGATGGTGCTGGGGGTAGCTGGGCACTGGCCGTTCTGTTCCGCGACTCTTGGCGTAGGGCGGGCCTGAGGTGACCAGACCTTAGGGCAATGCAGATTTCGGCAACGGTACCCTTAGCTATCGTAAGGGTCCCGCCCACGAAACTGATAGCAAGTAGGCAAATGTGACAGACATGAGAGAGAGGAGAGTCATAGTGTAATGTACCTTGGGAAGTGCCGCTGAAAGAGATTCTAAGTTTCTGACTTATCATTGAGTCAAGGTTTTCACAAGTGGAAAAGGACTTGGTGGTAAAGACACATGTCAGCCCTTAGACTCATTGACCATGTGATGATCAAAATTAAGGCAACGATACGCCGGTTAGGAGAAATCAGTTATCTGAATTCTGAACTCCAGGAAACTGGACCTACCTGGACTGGAGAAGGTGAAGGAGCGGATCCGGCTCAAGGACGGCACAGTTGACGCGTGCAGACAGACGGGTAAGGTACTTACTTGGGTATGTACAGTTGCGGTATGTCGCATGTGTCGAATGGAAGGCAGGCACGCCACACAGCAGGAAGTCAAGAAGGTAGGAAGGCCGCAGGGAGTCGGAACGGAAGGAAGGACTCACTTAGGACCTGAACGAGAATGGGAATGAGAAGCAGAATGAGAGCAGAATGAGAATGAGGCAGGCACGCGCAAGATACGTACCGCAAGACCCCACTTGCCTTTTCCTACCCCCGGCTTTCCCAGGTTGCCGACCCCGTTGCGGCCGCTCAGGGAGCCAATCACACGGTTCATGCAATGACACCCGTGGACTCGGCCGTTGTCCTCTGTTGAGTCTCTTTGGCTTGACCCCCGAGGTACAGACGGAGTCCATGCTCACCTCACTCACATCCTTTGCCTTCCCTCTCTTCCTCTCTTCTCTCTTCACCAACCCCCATTTTGAACCCGACCCGGAACCGAAACGTCGACCAGGGCCAGCTCCCGACATCGAGTGTAGCATATCCTCACAACTTCCTTTTTTCTCTTCGTTGATAATTGTACTGGGCATTTTTTCGCGAGTTTGATTACCGTGTCGTTCTAGCTACCTTAATCTGATGGCCATTTCATTACTTGAACCCCGGAATTATGCTCCGGATATCTTCAACCTACACACTTATGAGATGGTTGAAGTCTACATAATACCCCATCGCCTCTTTTTGACACACATCACTACACCTTAACGACTGGCACTCACTCGCATTGCCATGCCCGCCGTCGCCGGAGAATGCTAACATTTCCAAGACTTCCTCAATGCTATACTTTGTTCGCGGCTCTCTCCAATCGGACAGCGATGCACTAAGAGCAGGGAGTTCACCCACTGACATAGCGTCAAGATCGATTTGATTCCTCTTTTCTCGTCTATCAACTAATCCACCACGGGAGCAAACCCGTATCAGTCCCGTCCCGGGGCAACCCCGTTGTAATGGTCCACGTCAATCTTGGCGTATCTGGGTCCTTTACGTGCGTAACTACGTGCGTAGTGTACAACTCGGACGCAGATTGATAGCCCCCAGACGTCACAATGTCAACCGTTCTGCTACAGTCACCCACACTTCGATCCAAGTCTGCATTTCTCCCACACCAAACATAATGCCCTTCCAGCATTTAAACTTGATAACATTGCTTTTTGGCAACGCAACTCCGCTAAGTCCATTTCGATTCTGCACTTTACAAAGTTCAGCGAGAGCCCTACCATCCAGTGTAACCTCCGGCTGGCGGGGTTGTCCCAAGCAAGTGGTCCTCGTACTGTATACAGAGTATGGGGGAAGAAAGAGGCAAGTTATCCCACAACCCCAGCAGGAGTTAGCCTGTGCCCATGTCGTTTCTTCTGCTACAGCTTCCGTGCTACACTACTTCCTTGATGCCGCCTCGTTTCCCAAGTCTGTGATCTCGGATACTGACTACCAGTACACAATGCTATCAAGGTTCATGGCCTAGGTAGACAATGCTTCCCGCCCCCATCCAAGTACATTCATCATGGCTCAAGGGACTCAGAGCAGCGGAATCGCGGGGTTTTTGTTTTTCTCACGCTGAACTAGACCCCATCGCCGATACTCATCCCTGACGTGCTCTGCCTTACAGCTAGAAAGAGTGAGAAAAAGCTGTGTGCCGTGCAGCCGTACGATCTAGGATCCATCAGAGAAGGCAGCACATGCGGCGCAGGTCAACGCTCATCCCCCTCCTCCTTGGAGATTCTTCGCCCGCGCACAAGGAGCATCACATATCGAGTGTCTCCATCGCCAATGGACGTTTAATATATTCTAGACCCCATCTACCTGCCTGTCCACGCCATTCACGTAAGTACAAATCTGCCCAATAACTTTGCCCCTTCTACTTAACGAAGTCCAGGTAGCCGAGTGAAGATGCTGGTAGGCCTGGATTTCGAAGCACACAGGCTTCAGAAAACAAAGACGTATCAATGTCGGATGAGCCAGGCCATAGAAACAAGCGGTTGTCCTCTTCGCTCTATACTGCAGCCGACTTATACCCTCGCCACTCTCATTGGTACCTTCAAATAATCGAGAAATGCAATACTGGGTAGGTATGTATGCTCAGAGGCTCGGACTCACTATCAAGCTCTACTATGCTGAGCCTTGCTCTATCAGTCGTTCTCTTCCCCACTGGTCCCACACCTGTCAGCCATTTAGGCGCTGTAAGGCGGCCGCACGGAAAGAGACAGAGCCAGAGACGGAGATGAGACAGAGCAAACTACTCTACTGCGTACGGAGTACGTACGTTGGACGAGTTTCTGGGAGACTGGTAGACGTCCTACTCCGGTGGGCTGTAACATCGCTACGGATACAGCCTACTGGGCTGGACTGGGCTGCATCTGCGAGTGTGACTGTCATGTCATCGGGACTGCTGCTGCTGGTCTGCTGCTACTCTGTCGTGTATGTAGGTGTGTATGAGGTGTGGTTCTTGCTGGCAATGGTAGCCTCTCAGAATCTTTCGCTCTATCCCCTGCTCTTTCTCTTTTACCCCCATCCATGGAGCTGTGGATACACACGCCCCATGCCCTTTTTTCTCTCTTTCCCTCGCTCTATCTGGTCTTTCCAGACACACGCCCCCCCCAAGCCCCAAGACAAGGCCCCAAAGCTGCTCGGCCGACTGAATCGACCCGCATCTACAGAGTTGCACTACTGCGTACCCGTACATACCAGCCCCGGGCGGCTATCGTCTGCGAGGAACCATACTCACCCATGCCCCCGCATGCAAGTCTGTCTCTGCTTCTGTCTGTGGTTCTGCCTCTATCGTTGTCGCCGTCTCTTCTCTCTGCTGTGCTGTGCTTGTCCTGCCTGTCCTGCCTAAGGTAACCCCTCCTCCTGCTGCTCTTCCTCGTCTCCTGCTCTCTTGGTCTGTGTCCCGGCCCTATCTACACCTACCTTACCTTCCAGACTACAACGGCCTCATGTACCTCGTGTACACTATCCTTCCCCCTGTCCCTTCCTCGAACCCTGGCGATGGTCCCCGCTGCTTTCTATCCTGGAGAGTGGCACTCGTTCAAATCGTCTCGACTGGCAGGCTCCCCTTGCGAAAAAAATACAAACCTTTAGATCGGCACCATCGCTGTCCACTTCGCTCGTCATTAATAGGCCGCGGCCATCTCGTCCTCGCGAGGCTCTCTTCTCATTCATCCCACTTGACAAGTCCAATTACGGAGAGGCAGACTTCACTGACTCTTTGAATTCTTTATTACCGTCCATCTTCCCCCCTTCCCATCCTCTTATAAGACAAGACAAGCTTCACACAACCACAAACCATCAAAGCTCTTGCCTACATCTAACTCTTTGGAGTTTCCCATTGCCACTTACACACCACTCTCCACAACCTCAACACTTTCACTTCCACATTCCACATCTACTCCAACTGTCCACAAACTCCTCTTGGTCACCATTTGATCATGACGAGCCAGAACTACGTCGAACAAACCACTATGCATTCAGACGGACTATCAGACCCCATGCCCAGCAGGCGCACCTCAGTGGCACAGCCTCCTACCACAATCTATCCAGACCTCAGAAGCCCTCCTTTTGCAGTAAGTCGATATATCCCATGTCCTCAAGCAGCCATCCAGACGTGTCTGACAGATACAAGGTCACAACTTTCAACCATCAGTCGCAACTTGGTGAATCCCACATGTTGACTCCAGTATCTGGTGGCGGCTCGCCCTGCATGCAACAAACAACAACTCTTCCCCAGTACCCATCAGCGATGGCTCCCATGCAGCCCCAGTCCAGTCCTTCCGGATCCTCCAGGATGGCTTGGCATAACACTGTGGCTATGAGTGCTCCCCAGAGCCAGGTTGGCTCCCCTATGGCCATGAACCCTCCCACAACCGAGAGTCATTTCGAGATGAACTACATCCAAGCAGAACCTGAGCACGAACGCGAACCTCCCGAAGACTACTACTTTGGTAACTACACGGTCTCCGCGCAACCTCAATCGGACCAGGGTTCTATGTCCCCTCAGATGCCACCCCACGGCTACTACATGTCTCAACCCCAGCAGCAAATGATGCAGCCGCAGCCTATCATGGGCGAGCTTTCCATGGGACAAATTCCGCATCCTTCGCAAGCCCAGGCGCAGTACTATGCCCAGCCTCCGACTCACACCTGGGTAGAGGACTCTGATATCACAGCCTTCAAGTCTGAGGCTACTAGGAGACGTTACATGGGATACGCCCTTCCAAGCACACAGATACAACGTCCCGAAGTCGTTCGGGGACCTACCCGAGCCCGTCAAAACAGCCAACAAGCAGCGGGCCGGTGCCAAAGATCTCCTCGCCTGAGAGGTCGAGCGGAACAGTCCGAGGCAGAATCATCTGAAGAGCCGACCGCCGATGACGAGATGGCGCATATCAACTCGCTCCCCGATGAATTCGTCGTCAAACCGGAATGCCCTGAAGACGTTGCCTTTCTCTTCCATCGTCAAAGGGATATGATTATCTCAGGTGGCAAGGGTAACGGAATGTGGGATATCATTGCGGGCGAGCACAGAGAGAGGTTTGGAATGACAAGCTCTGCTGCACGTTTGCAAATGCAGGTGACGAGAGGAAGATCCAACTTTCTGGAGTGGTCACTCAGAGACGTAAGTCATGCTCATGGTGTAGGGATTCTTTTGTGAGCAACACAACTAACAAGGTACCAGAGACATAAGGTCAAAATGGCTTTCGATTTCGTCGATGCGCATTATTTCAAGATGGTCCACCGCAAGTTCAAGGAGCTCGGCGGTGGACAAACAACTGCGTGGGGCGCAAGTGACGTCGAGTATCTGGCAGTCGAGCGTGGCATGGTAGATTCGGGCTACACGGCCGAGCCTACTACTCAGCCGGGAAAGTCGCGGAGGACAAAGAAGCAGCAAACCCGCCTGAGGAACCTCGCCACAAGCAGCGCCGTCCTGCTTGACGACACAGTCGAAGTACGGCAGAACCCAGAACGGCGACAACAAATACTCGATGAAATATATGAGTACCGTGGCGAGGATCCCGAAGACGGTGTCGACGAAGAGCCCATGTTCAAGACAGTGGCCAGGGCTCGCCCACGCGGCCGCCAAGTAGAGATCAAGATGGAGGAGGAGAGCCCTGAGGAAGAGACGGCATCCTCGTCCAGCAAGGCCAAGGGCAAGCAGCCTGCCAAGAAAAGAGCACCAGCGAAGCCTAGGGCCGTCAGAGCACGCACGGCACCCAAGCCCAAGTTGGCCTGAAGAATCGTCGAGGTTCAGACAAAATCTACGACGCACACATCAACACCAACTGTGATGGTGACCTTCACTTCTTCCGACGGTAGCCTCCTATGAGGTTGGCCTTAGCATGCTATTCCCAAGCCCAAGCGGCTGTGATGACGTATAGATTGTTCCTTGTCATTTTGCATTCTGTTTCCTTTTGGTTTGGTCTTGGATTTCTTGTTTTGGCTGAAAAGATACCACTCATTTCGTATGGTTTCTCATCCTGGGAGGGAAAGGAGGACGACAGGCGGCAAGGGCTCTTCTGGGTTCCGCATATCATTATCTCGCGTACATTTACATTTCACTGTCTATATTCATTTATGCCATTTGCAACATTTATTCACAAACATACACTCATCAAATATCACCTTACATTGAACCACTGTGCACACAAGGCCAGCTACATCGCCATCGTCGCGAATCTTCCATGTAAATGTCCTCAGCCATTGTGAATAGGCTGCCTTGATACCTACCGATGCCGTTACCCGACGAGGAAGAGACTCGCCGTCCAATCCGCCTGCCCGTTATGACACCGTGGGATGGGCCAAGAGTCACAACTCATCTATCTCCAGGCAGGATTTCCGAGTTCTCGGGACCAAGGCAGCATTTGCACTCGCCGACGCGCCCAATGTAACGGGACTACGCTCGGAGTCGTCTCATGACCATGGACTGGGAAGACAGCTCATCTACCCGTACTTTGGCCCATTCATGCCATCGTCATCAGGATACGCCAAGAGAAACAAAGCGACTTGTTCTCCTCTTCTACTGCTACACCACTGTCGAACAGCAATTACGACGACGTTGAGAGACGAGTTAGCACGCCTTGTTCGTCACATCAAACCCATGTTCATGCTTCATGTCGGGCTGGAGGGAGGGCCCCGGGGGGGGCTAGCCCTCTTCAACGGGCGCCCCGTCCGTGCTCTCTCTTCCTCCTGCCCCCCTACTGCCCAGGAACAGGCGAAGGCGAGGGTGATTGGGCTGTGGGAAGGGTATGAACGACCCGGAGACCAGGAAAGGCAGACCAGATGGCATGGAGGGAGAGAAGAAAGATGTGCCCTGCGCTGCGGTTGCGGGTGTGGCTTTTCCTCAACGGCGGCGCGGGTGGTGGTGGATACCCACACCGGCAAGAAAAGTACGCTATAAAGCACCCGCTTCAAGTTCTCATACGATGAATAGAGCGACTAACATCCACAGCCAGGCCGTGTCTGCGGCCCTTCTGGCCCGGATGCGACATGCTGCTTTTCCGCAGCCTGAGAAGTCGAAACTTTTACCCTTTTCAGACGGGATAGTGGATATCGGGTCCGTTCAGGGTCAAGGGGGGAAAGGGGAGGGGACGGGGGGAGGGATGGATCGTAGCAAGAAAGTGTTTAAAAGAGGCCATCACTTGGGGGGCCCTTGAGAGACTGAGAGTGAGAGAGGGAGAAGGAAAGAGGATCACAGAGGTTCAACTGTCAGAGAGTCCCATAGCTTTTTTGCAGTAACCGTAAAGAGGCATTGCAAGGTTATGGGGGGTTTAGTCGCACTGTCGCAGAGGGGCATATCTAGCGCGGTGTCTTTGTGACCAGGGGACATACGTAGTAAGGCGCACAGGGCCAGAAGAAGGAAAAAAAAGGCAGGGACAAGCATGGCGGCGGCGGCGCGCTCCAGGCAAAGGAAGGGTGGCACGGGTGGGGGAAGATGGGAGACGAGAAGGAAAAGAGATTCTCACTGAGTATCCGTACCCTCTTTGATGTTTCCCCGGGGCATCATCCCCGTAGGCTACGGAGTAGGTACACTTTTCTGCCTGATAGACTCCATTGCTTGCCTGCCCGCTGCCTTGGTGGTGGTCCGCTTTGGACCCTGATGTGTATCCGTACGGAAAGAGAGGAGGGGGAGAGAGATGATGAAGAGACGGGGGCGGAGGGACATTCAGGACGACGATACTCTCTCCGTGTCTACCTACGGAGTACACAATAGGTAAGGTAGACTCAAAGAGGCAGAACGTGAAAGAGACGGCGAGTGGTGGGTACCCCAGCCGGCGGCCCCGCAGAGCGGCTTCCGCGCACTTTGTGATTGTCGCCCTTTGCCGCCAAGACCTGGCATTTTCGGCTTCCCGGACTAAAGGTTCTTGTCCATTGCTGTGCCCATTATGCCCATTTCCTGTTCCAAAAAATCTCGCGAGCTGCTCTCGCGGACGGACGGTCACTCACGTGAAGTGGGAAGGCTGTGAGAAATTCCGAATTTCCGGGGGCCCGTCCTGTCCTGGCCTGACCTGCCCTGGCCTGGCTGCTTGGGTGAAGTTGCCGGGAGTTCAAATGTGGCAGGTAAAGTGAGGCAAGGTAGGTAATGAGATCCTGTAAGTCATCGATCGTCTTTGCTTCCCTATCAACCCGTTTCTCTACATCTCCCCAACAAAGTTAAAGCAAGTAATCAAGTCACGTAGTACGGCAAAACTTTAGGTTGTGTAGCACAGAAGAATAAGAAAAAAAAAAAAAAAAAGTGTATAAGAGGGCAAGCAGCTGTTCCGTGTAATTCGGCAGTGGCGCGGCAGGCTGGCAGCAAACCAAGCTCTCGGCCGTTGACGAGATAGGTTCGATCCGAGGCAAGATGACGATGGGTGAAGAGAGTACCCTCCCCGATCAATGGGGCATTGAGCATTGGGCATCGGGTAGGATAGCGTGGGTAGGCGAATGTGAATAAGAAAAAAGTGAACGCTAGACGGGCCGGAATTATGCAATCAAGTCCGGACGTGACTACGTCCAGTCTAGTGGAACATCTCTTGGTCCCTTTTTTCCCTCTCTCTTTCGTAGCCGGCTTGACGCGGGGACGGACGTCAATCCGCTTCGGTTTAATGCTGTCTCACAATTCCTGGTGTCCATGAATGGTTTAATCATCATCGTCGTCGTCGTCGTCGTCGTCGTCTTTGCGTCGTAGTCGAGCGCGGGCCCGAAGATTGCGCGCGCAATCTCACAATCTCAATCGCATTCATGGAGCGCATTCATGATCCATCGTCTCATCTGATCGAGCGGGGGTCCCCGTTGAACGAATGTTGCAAAAAAAAGGAAACGGCTGACGGGTCGGAGGGAATCTCCTCTTCACCCCCCATCCTTTCCCCCTCCCTCTTATGCTTTCATGGGATGCTCATCCTGACCTAGAATGCTGACCGGTGCGGGTGTGTGACGGGAATGCGATTGCGGACCTGTGATTGATCCTCTGCTTTCCAGAATCCGGGAAGAGAGAAAGCCTTCGGCGAGAGGAGAGGGAACCACCGCGACCAGGGGCCCGGAAGGGGTGACGAAGCGACGAACCTCCCTGCTTTGCTTGAAGCACCACAAAAACGCACGCTCACAAGACAGACAGACACCAGCCCTCGCCGGGGGAGGGGGTGTGCCTTGGATGCCCATCCTATGGTGCGAATCACGGGTAATGGTGCGTGCGTATTCCGCACTCCGTACCGTAGTCCGTACCCTCTTTCGTCTCCGTACGGCAACGGGTGCTAGGCTTGCATGGACCACTAGGCGTTCCGCAGTCGCAACGTTCCCTTGCTCGCGCGCCTTGGGTGTGGAGCCTTCAACCTCTCTTCCTCTTCCAGCCCCCACCCTCTCGAGTCCACGTCCGGTCTGGTCTGCAGAGACACTTCATCAACCGTCCCAGGAATTCGGTAAATTGGATGGAGACAGCGCGATAAAAACGCAAACTCTCATCTTGTCCAGACTATGTTTGTGGCCTGCGCCGGGTATCTTTGAGAGGCGACTAGGGGTGGGTGGAATCAAGAGAAAGAGGGCCGCTGGTGCCTGTTCCCTTGTCCTTCAACGGGTCCCTCGCGGAGTCGAGCTCAACGCTAGAGATTTCACTTGATTTGTTCTCTCGTAATTGCCATTGTTCGGCTGCCGTCCGTGGTCTTCCGTTTCGCTGCTTCGTCTAGAGACGCCGCAGCCCCAATGATCCCCAATGATCAGAGAGGGGGAACTGGGGACGAGAGCATCCCCCCCGCTTGCTTGGCTCACGGGCCACTGTCAGCCATGGGGTTTCCGATAGTGTTGATCAACTTGGGGGTGCTTGACTGGGCTGAGCTGCCATCCTCGAAGCGATGTAGCCCTCTGTTGCAACTTGCCGTGCCTAGGCAGGCTAACCTTGCCCAATACACCAATACACACGTCAAGGTCGTCCACTTCGTTTTTCCGATGATCTTTCCAGGACAAGATCGTTTGTCACCTCACGCCATTGTCGGCGGCCGCCTCCATGGGGTCGTATCATGGGGTCGTAGGTGTGCGCAGCCCATTGTTCAACCCATGATTCTGGTCGCAGTAGCCCAGTAAGTTATTGTGTGACATCGAGTAACACTTGGAGAGTGTCAACCCCGGATTCTGGTCTTCGCAGGCGCCGCCCAAAACCCGTATTGCGCCTGTTCCAACCGGTCTTCTTGATCCAACGGCGAAGCTGCGAAGCGCGAAGCGCGTGTGCCAGGCCGAAGAGACGATCATGCCATCCATCACATCTGCCATGCACTATATCCGGAATGAGCCTGCCAGATCACCACCAAACGGGCGAAGGAGTGGTCGGTAATTCTCATCTGCAGCGGCTAAGCCACTACTCATGCAAAACCTAGCCAGTCAAATGGCTATCCGTCTTCTCGGGACGAATCAGAAGTGCAGAATAGAACCGCCTGCCGGGTATAACCTTTCCCTTGCAGAGGAGTCGCAGCATCCGTACAAGCAGAACAGCAAGCAAGCCAATCGCGCCATCCAGCGGCGTCATGGAGACAATCGCTCACCCTGCTCTCCCCTTTTCCACCAGTAGACGCTCTGTTTCCGTACTGCCAATGGAATGACTGCAAACACGCACTCTGGTCCAGAGTTTCTGCAGCTTCTGCCTCATTTTTTCTTCTTTGCAGGCCTCGTTCCAGAGCATCGGGTCCAAAGTCGGTGAAGACAAGATTGTTATTGTTCCGGGAGGGAATCCAAATCGTTGTGCTCCTGCCTCATTTGGATGTTCGAAACAGACCCGGTGCCGAGTTGAATGGTTCGCCATCTGGCAATCGACATGGCATCGAACATTTCCCAGGAAGAGGGAACGGAGGTGGAAGATTGCGCCCGCATTCCAGGTTTCCAGACTTCTAATGACTGCTTTGCGACATCCACCGCGAGGTCCGCTTTCGTGATCTAGAGCTCTCTGAAATTTCTCTGATTTGGAATCGGGGGACGACAAGAACTACGCCGCAGACTGTCAAAGGAGATCTTCAGCCCGAGGGCTGAGCACCTTGACTGACAGGGTGCATACAGCAAGAGGCTCCTGCTTGATGTACCACTGAGAAATGAAGATGTGGGATGTAGCTTTGTGAAGCGAGATGTAATCCTGGCCGACGGGCGTTAT